AGGGATTTTTTATTTGGACGGTTGGGTTTGGAATGAAAACAACTCTGATTTAGGGAAAATTGATTTTTTTATTTTGAACTTTATTTTAGCTTTGGGCAACAGAACAAGAAGGGAGGAGTAATGATGATACCTTGAACATGGAAGCCCAATTCGAGGAATTTCTTGGGGGCAATAGTTTAGCCTGTATCATTAATCGTCTCTAGTGCAATATATCTGATGCTAAAAAATGATGCAGGTATGACCTTCAAATATAGCCTAGGAATTGGCAGTCTATTTTCGCTAATTTGCGAGTCTTCATCCCATACACTTGCTTGTTTCCCAATCTTGTGAAGAACCCTGATGACCTCTTCAGTTGTCACATTACCAGTTACAGTCACCTTGTTTAATTTTGTATCAATATCATATATTTCAATATATGCATCCAGCATCAACAGGCATTGTCAACTTTTTGGGATGTTATATAAAAATAAGCAGTTTGTTTAAACCACTTTATCTTAAATTTCAATAAGTGGGAGTGAAGATTTGAACCAATATCTTTACTAGCTGATACCATATTGTATTTTACCAAAGTTAATCCAATGTTTAGCTTTTTATTATATATACATTTTGCTATGTCGTAAACAAACCTGACTGGTAGAATATGCACAGATATGGTCCCAATCCTTGTTCCAAAATTTTTACTAATTTCACCTTCTTCCATATTTAATTGAGATTCAAAGCAGGGCAGCTAGAGATGTAAAGTTAGACATCTATTCCATTTGATGATCTTTAACTTTTTTCATTCTTTACATAACCAAAGTATTCTATTCTACTGGCATTTTTTTATACTTTTTTCACATCATTCACTCTGCGTGGAAATGTTTGAGTACGTTGATATTAAGCTGCATGGGATTTTAGAACTTCACCTCTATCTGATTGTTGAAAAAATTACTTTCAGGGATTGACATGGCTTCTCCCAGAACGATTTTCTGAATCAGAAATTGGACCAGAAGCAGCTTTTGTAATATTTTGGTAACGCTAGCTTCTTCTTACTTAGAATCATGCAATGAACTCACGTTCTTTGGCTTAACGAAAAATGGATTTTATGACACAATTTTTTTTTTGTATTGTTATTTTTTTCACTTATGAAAAAATCCTATAATTTAAATTAAGTAGATTGTTTTCATTAGGAACACAATATTTATACAAATGCAGAACTTTTATGGTACATGTAATTCTGTGAAGATTACACAATTTGGTGCTACATCATTGTTGGCTTCTGTTTCCATAATTTCATGTGTTTCAGTGTGTATGTTAAAGGATTTCTATATCTCAAGTGTCTGTATGTAAATTATGTTTATTTCTACTCTCCCCCAACCCACCTACCCTTCTCCCTTAAAATTCCTTTTTATGCTATATAAGTTCTGCCATATTTTCTGGAAACCCAACATTCTTCATACAGTGCACTTAGTTCTACTCCAATTATTAATTATATTGTGTGTCCAAATCAATCTTTTCTATTATTGTATATCTAAATATATCTGCGGTGACATCAATTTTGGGTATAATCATTGCTTCCATCTAACATTTGTTAAGAACCTTTTTCTCCTCCCCTACTCCGAACTTCTTCCAGGCACCGGAGTGACTCTTAGTCCTGATATCTTGTATTTTCACCCTTTCTGTTGTTTTGGGGTGCGATAAAAAAGCTTTTAAGATTTGTTCATTTTCTTAAGCTGTCTCTGCATTTCTTTCATTTGTTTCTTGCAAAAGTTGATGTATTCTATCCTATACAGTGTAAATATTTCTACAGTAACATCAATTTTGGTTATAACCACTTTTGTAAATCTTTCTGTAGTAACATCAATTTTGGGTATCTTCAAGATCTTCTTGATGCATTCATCACAGTGTAAGCCTACCAACTCCACTACCTAATGACACACAAAATGGAGCATCAAATTTGATTAGTTACTTTCTTATATCAACAACTTCCTTTTTTTGCCTCTTTGATTTGATTAGTTAATTTTTGGCATCAAATTACTGATACTGACATATAATTCAAATGATACCAACCAACTTTTGACAAATAAAAACTCAGATATTTAATTTTTCTCATGAATTCCTTAAATAGCCGAGCTGATCTTATTATGATAGTGGCACTTTTTGTCGTAGACGGCTTGTGCAGCATTGGATGTCAATTAATGGTTAGGCAGACATTTTTTATGCAAAATACATATTCACCCAAGAACTTGTGTATGCTTAAGAGTAGTGTCATGCATGACATAATGTAGCATTTGAATTTGGTGAATGCAAGTTATAGTGGTGACTGCTGTTTATCTCATCTCAATCCAAAAATATGCCAAGTTATATTATGTCATTTTAGCAGGTTCTTTTACATGTTGCTATCACGAATCCTTCTGTGCTCAACTAAGTTTCGTACTTTCAGTTTGACTTCGATTCATTTAATTTGATGATGCTTTGCAATAGGACCAACTTCAAGGACAGGCAAAGCTCTCATAAGCAACAAGTTCTGATGAAACCGAACTCCTATGCTTATGCCAACTCGGGCTAGAAAAAAAATAAAAAAACAATGTGCACGCTAGCAGGAAGCCACAACCAAATATATTAGTTATTTCATTTTTTGAATTAGTGTAATTCCAAGTGCTGTAATTTAGGTTTATCTTTTAGTTTTTATAATTATAGGCTAACTTGTTTTCTTTGATACAAGTAATTTCGTTTTTCAAGTGTGTAAGAAGGATTTGTGATGACAAATTTATTACTCATTTTTATTGCATAAATAAATTTAACAATTAATGTGAAATGATTTTTATATATGTAAAGTAATATATAAAAATATAACAATGAATGAGTAATTTAAAAAAAAGAAGAAGATATAAAACGGTAATTTAAAAAAAAAAATAGATATAAACGTTGCCAAAAGATCAATGGCAACGTTCATTGAACATTACCAAAACCATCTTTCGCAATGTTCTGTGAGCAGAACGTTGCCAAAACCTTCATTCGCAATGTTGATCGAACGTTGCCTTCGGTAGACGTTGCCAAAACTCTCATTCACAACATTCGGTGAATATTGCCAAAACTCTCATTCGCAACGTTCGGTAAATGTTGTCAAAACTCATTCGCAACGTTCACAAAACTCATTCGCAACGTTCAAAATCCTGATTTGCAACGTTCAATAAATGTTGCCAAAACTCTTCATTCTACGGCAACATCTGAACCCACAATAGACGCATGAACGTTGCAATAGATCTTTGACAACGTTTTTTGACCGTTACAAAAGGTGATTTTTGGTGTAGTATGATATAATTAAAATCTTGACAAAGAAGAATCCCAATAAAGCATAAGCGACAATAAATGATGGTATAGTACTAACACTGAAGTTGAGTTTCATCACTATGAAGCATAACATCACCGACAACACAAAAGCTCTTATAGTTAACTGTTCTGTCCATGAAGGTATCTCCTTGTTCTCAAATATCCCATCTACCGACAATTCTTCATCTTCTAATGTGTTAATATTTTCATCATGCAATCCCCTTCTGCTGTCCATTTATTCCCTCTGGATTGAATCTTTAGGACTGTCTAGGAATCTTTCTATGGTATGTAGATAGATAATTGAAGGAATTAAAATGTAGTTATAAAGAGTAGAGTTACCTATTGGTGTCAAACCTGGGGCCGGGGGAGGGGGGGAAGACAAGAAATTTATGCGTTGACTCCCTCCACTCCCCCGTAAAAAAATAAAAAAATAAAGGTTGCAATCCACTAAGGTGGTCGCAGGATCCTGGAAAAATATGTCCATTGAAAATTGTAACACTCGAGACATCACCATAACAATACTATAAATATTGGGTCCTACTTTACAAGAAATTCAATACTTCCATTGATTTTTCCCCAATTGTATGTTCCACTTCCATGAATATTAAGCCCTGTTTGATCTCCATTAAAATGAGATTTTGAAAAAAAAAATGTATTTTAAAATAATGATTTTTATAAGAATGTGTGGTGAAAAGATAAGCAAAAATTTTGAATTTATATGTAATATTATTTTATAATAAAATTTGTAGTTGAAAATAAATTTTGAAAAAAAAATGCATTTTTGAAAAAATAGAGGGGATAAAGAGAATCTGTCGAAGTATTTATTGGAATTTGGAATTAATTATGGCAATTTAAGGTAAATCTGTTGGAAACTATTGCTTTCTTAAAGCGTTAAATTACGGTGTAAAGTTGGGTTTAGACAAAGCCCTTTTAGGATGCTATGAAGCTTAGCATTGTATCCCTAAATTTGAATGGATAAAGCCAAATGATCCGCGAGGATGACCACATCGATGACCACGAACTCACATGGATGCGTGGGTCTCTCGTGAATTAAATAATGTCCGATTTCTCATATGTGTATATGTGATCATCCCGGATGTCAAACTTAATGTTGAATCAGTGAGCAGATGGAAAGACTTCTGTAATGTCCAGCCTTTAGCCTCCTTTGTTGACTCAACCATCCAGCCACTTGCCGCTTTTGTTTACTAAACAATTTGAAAAATGAGGCAAAGAAATCTTATGCGGTCAATGCAAAAGGAAATATTTTCGTTTTAGTCGTAAAATGAATAGAAGAAGGCAGCTACCTTTTGCAAATTTTGTTGAAAATGGACACGGTGTAATTAATGAAGGATGGCAACTCTTTCTCTATGAATAGTTGATACGTTTAAGAAGTGTAAAATATCCTCCGAAAGAAGGTGAAATAGAAAGAGTGAGTTCAAAGAAAAATTTGTGAGTTTTTTTAGAAGAGTTGATAATCTCTGTGAACCAATTTTTCTCGTGTGTCTATACAGGATAATCCTTTTCAGATTACGAAAGCAATATTTTTCTTATACAAGTTAATCTATACCCCCCACCATATCTTGAAAATGACTTTTGTTACCTCTCCAATTTCCAAGTTGTTGAGAGAATAAGAGATTATGTATTACTGATTGCTATTGAGATGCATCCATAGGTATATAAATCATCAGTTTCATACTGCAGAAACATGAATTGATTCTCTTATTTATGGTTACAGGATAATATTTTAAAGTCTACAGATTATGAAGATGATACTTGTTGGCATATAAGTTAATCTTTCCCCTGGCCTATCTAGGATTCTAGTACTTAATCTAACTTATTATAAGTAGGCCTTGAAATGAACATCATGCAAATTGGAGGTTTCACTCCGACTAGAGCTAGTATACATTTAGGCAAAGTCCACATCCCGTCACCACAAATCAAACCAGTTGCCACGGCAGGCCCAAAGGCATCAGCATTGGCCTTATTTTTCTTTTGCCATACATAAAGTATGAGGCTTCCAGCACACATATCAACGGCTATATTTGAACCCACAAAAAAGGGTACTGCCATTGCCATTGGAATTGGAATAAACCACGAACGTTTCTTTCCCAAAGCATCTCTGGTTAAGTTGATGAGAATGGATGCAGCAAAAAATCCGAAACATAGCTTGAGGCAACCTTTAGGCAGAGCAGATAAGCCTTCAACCCCTAGTTTAGCCATATTATAGTAGAATGTAGCAGAGGGAACAGGATATTCACTTGTAGGAAGCCCAAGATCAGGAGAAGCTTTATAGAAAATCCAAAAGACACAAGGAGAAATAACACATCCCATTGCAGTCCCAATCACTCGGCTGACAAACATTGAACAAGGCGAAGACAAGGTCAAGTAGCCGGTCTTGAAATCTTGCATGAGGTCAGAGGCAGCGGAGGTTATAATCATTATCACTCCACATGCTTCTAGACCAGCAAGGATTCCACCATGTGATGCTCCCGCCCATGCCCCAATTGTAAAGACGGCTAGTTTTCCATAATGAGATGAGAATGACCAATCAGTGAACCCGCACCCATATGCATCACAGAAGGCCAGGCTTGGTGCAAATATGTATATAACAATTATGTAGTACCACTTGAGTTGGTGGAAAATGTGAGGAAGGATTGCAGTGGAGACTGCAGCAAGGGCTAAATAACCTCCAATAGCAAACCATATTGGGATTTGATCCTTAAGAAAGACTTTGGTACGGTGTTGGTCATCATAAGAAAGTGATTCTCGTACAGGAGAGGAATTTTCTACAATTGGAATTTGCATGTTTGCATTTCTGCACAGAATTTTGTAAAACAAACCAGCCAGAGTTCGGCTTATAACCTTGAAAAAGTTGTATAGGCCATCACCGAGTAACATGGAAATGCCAATGAATACCTGATGTAGTTGTAGTTGACATTTTGTTTTAGTGAATTGTATTCATGAAAAAGCAAATTAATATATGGCAGCATTGGGGAAAACTATGATGGATTAGAAATTCACCAGATAACCGTGAAGTCCCTGCAAACTATGAGGCTCGAGATCTGCAGAGTACCAATCCCCCTTCCTAGTTTCAATGAGAGGCCGCAAAATACCGCAAGAAAGAATTCCTCCAAGAAGAAAAGATATATTTACGATGTGAGGACACATCATCCCTACTCCAACTATAGTTGCTGAGAAATCGAAGAAAAACCTGTAGCTTCCAAAACAGGGTTAGATATTAATGGGTCAAACTGCATTTCGGTTAGATGATGCTTAGTCACACCATTTAAAGTTCTGCTATGAGCAGGACACATCTCCTGGTTTGTTGAAATGAAAAATCATAGACCAATTGTTAAATAACAAAATGAACCTTTTAGGCTTACGTGTATTTATATGCGTTTAATCCAAACGTTGGGAAGTTTGAGAAGCCACAATCATCACCAGCCGTGAAGAACCATTGGAAGAAACCCCATAAGAAGCTAAATGAGAAAAACTTGCCCAATTCCCTGACTTTCTTCCTGAATACATAACGAACCAATCCTTTTTAATCTTTATATCTGTGGAGAAGTTTACTGATTTGGGAAAGAATCATTTGTTTTTCTTACTTTTCTTTTACAGTGTTGCAGAATATAAATAGGAGAACATAAACACCTATCTTTGGACTATACAGATTTTTAGTCTAAGTTAATGGAAATCTCTTTAATTAAGAGACTTGTCTATGCATCAATCTCTCAATTATACAGCTCAATTATAAGAAAGAAGCCAGTATCCCCCTCCCCAAGCATGGCGGCGGCTGAGTTTGTACAGTGCTTCGGCCGGAAGAAGACGGCGGTGGCCGTGACCCACTGCAAGAGGGGACGAGGATTGATCAAGATCAATGGCGTCCCAATTGAGCTGGTCCAGCCAGAGATCCTCCGTTACAAGGCGTTCGAGCCTATCCTCCTCCTAGGCCGCCACCGCTTCGCCGGAGTGGACATGCGCATCCGTATCAAGGGCGGTGGTACACTCCGAGATCTACGCCATCCGTCAGTCAATTGCAAAAGCCCTAGTCGCCTTCTACCAGAAATACGTCGATGAGCAATCGAAGAAGGAGATTAAGGGCATCCTTGTTAGATACGACAGGACTTTGCTTGTGGCTGATCCACGTCGCTGTGAGCTGAAGACGTTTGGTGGTCGTGGAGCTCGTGCTAGGTTCCAGAAATCCTACCGTTGAAATCAAATCTCGGTAGTTCTGATTATATCATTATAGTATTTATGCTTATTTGTTTGTAGTAGGTGATGCTACCAAAAATCGTACCTGTAGATTTTCCGAGCTTGATGACTGATGATGAGCACGAACGTGATCTTCCGATACCTGAAACAAAGGCAACGAGGTGTGTTCTCGTCGCCCCTCCGATGCTTAAGTCAGAAAGGGAAATATATGCGTGAGGCTATATGCTAAAGAACAATGAAAAAACGTACCTGAATAATGGTTCAAGGTTCTGTATTTATAGTAGTAAGTGACACTCTCCTAATTGGACTCAACTAGTTGGATGTCCTCATCTGTTGGAGTCCTGAATGGTTAAGGAGTTGGTTGAATTCCAGAATTATGCGTGAGATAGGACTCTTGTGGGAGTTAAGATTCCTAATTGCGTAGGAATTCTAAAGTGTGAACAGTCGTCAGCA